GTACCACAACATTCTTTTATATTTTACAAATACAGTATTCTTTTATTCTTTCATAGCATATTTTAACATTAGTCCTTTTTGAAAGGTGTAATAGTTACTTGCTGCTTTAAAAGTAAAGTTTTATGTTTTAAAGGGGGTTGTGATGACTTTGGCTGTAACTCATTGTTTTTCCTGTGTAACAAGAATCTCTCTTTCTCTTAAATCATTTTTTTCTCTCTGTTGCACCCCTTTATTGATTTTCTTTGCAGAAGCTGAGCCAGAAGGAGTGGGGAAACAGGCAAGCCAGCCTCAAAGAAAGGGAAGGAAGAAGGGTGAAAACAAACTATAGAGGGTCAGTGTCAGTTGAGGGCAACAAATGTTTGAAAGGGGCTTTTGCTTGGGAAATTGGGAGGTAGGCAGGGAGTGCTCAGCAGGATAAGGGAGGCACCAGGATCTGCAGAAAACATTAAAGAGGCCCATTTCTTTTAGATTTCGGGAAGTGGAAGGAAGTTCGCGACCGCAGCAGCTGCAAGGAAGAAAGCATACACACACTTCCTTGAAGAGGGAAGCAACACAAGTTTGAGAGACCCAGGTTAGTAAGAAAAAAAGCATTTTAGAAGAGGTTGGTTTGTACTGAAGCTTGGAAGTTAAAAATAAAACACAGCACAGGAAAGAAATGCAAACACCACACACAACCTCTGTCTCCCATTTTGGTTTCCCAGTGACCCCTAAGCACAGCCCATGCCTCCAGACTCCCCTGGCACACCTTGCTTTCATATTCTCTCCCTTAGTAGTTAGAACACTTAGCATTGATCAGAATCACTTTGGACAGGTGCTCCTTCTCAAACAGTCCACAATTCTATGGCAGCTCATTTACGTCCACTAAATTCATATTGTAAGAATGCTTGTTTATAGCATTTCAGCCATCCTGGCACTTCACATGGTAGACTACAAATTCCATCCCACATCCAGTTGGATTATGTGTATGTGTGTGTGGGTGGGTTTGTAGTGCAAGACATCTGAGAAGTGCCAATGAATTGTTTGCTTGTACGTGTATCTGTGTTTACAGTATTTTGTGCCACTTGAGGGAACTGGTGAATGTTCTCATGTATTTTTCCAATGGTTACCCTAGGAAGGAGAAAGGACAATGTTGTTACGACAATGTGTTACTTTAGCACAGGGGTCCCCAACCCCCAGTCTACGGCCCGGTGCCAATCTGTGGCCTTTGTTGGACCGGGCTGCAGAGATAGATCCTCTGCCCCCCCACACCCACCTGCACAGCCCCTTTGCACATGCGTGTGAGTGTGTGCGCCTGCCACATGAGCACTCCCGCCTTCGTGCATGCACGTAAGTGCCTGTGTGAGCACTGCTCCTTTGCGCATGCGTGTGATGTGGGGGGTTCCCCCCCCAAACGGTCCGCGGTGTCAAAAAGGTTGGGACCACTGCTTTAGCAGACAGGGTAATGGTAATTGCAACAATGTTCTGCTGGCACAAAGTACTGAGCAACAGAGTTACTTTCAAAATGCAGCCCCCAACTCTTCTGATAGTTGGGGAAGGGATCCTGTTTTCTCATAATATAGTATAGGGAAGTGAACAGAGGCAAAGGTTTGTTGAGAGGTGGAAAAGGGATGGTGAAAAGGTAGCCAGGTGCTATTAAGTTTTATTGTAACTGAGAGAATGGGCTAGAATTGCCAAGTGAGTTTTCATGGCTTGGTGGGGATTAGAACTTGGATCCAGTTCTAGATCTCCCATGTACGTACCAGTCCAGTGCTCTAGCCAACATAGCTATCCTATGACTGATAGCTATGCTGGGGTGTTTCCCACTCAGCCCGTGAGCCACCCCTACCAACCACTGCACTGTACTGGTTCACATCATCATTATGGGCTTGAGTCTGGTTTTAACCTCTCCCTTCTTCTACAGGCTGTTGGAATGGCTGCTGGGTGGTTGCAGGAGAGAAGCAAAGGGAGTGGTTTTCTGAGGAGGACTGAAAGTCATTTGCTTTCCTTTTATCCCTCTCTCTCAGCCTAGTGGGATTAATTTTCAGATGCCAGTTGGAAAAAAATATTTAAATAGGATTGTGCCATTGGCAAGGTATGTCCGTGTAAGAATCTGCACCTGCTTTGTGCAGAGAATCATGCTTCTTCGACACATATTATGTTGCCTAGGTCATGGATTAGCATGGTCCTTGGTGGGCTCTGCGGTGTCACAGAGTGTCACAGTGTGTGCCATGACCGAGATGCCACCCATCCCTAAACCCCTGTACTAAGCCTTGCGGTGTTATCGAAACTTGTGAGCGGGAGCCCTTATACTGTGCCATGGCCGAGATGACATCCATCCCTAAACCCCTGTACTGTACTAAGCCTTGTGGTGCTATCGAAACTTGTGAGCGGGAGCCCTTATAAACCAAACAGAAGCTTTCCAGCCACACAAACTGTTCAGCTTACAGTTCCATTCACAAATATTCTTTTAGAATTCTCAGCTTCATAGCTGTCACTCCTAGCACACATTCTTTGTATAATTGTCAATCAGTCCCAATCACTTAATCATACACACAAATGCAAAACTATACACAAAACAAATTTAGGGGCCAAAATTGCCAAAAGTTCTTAACAGCATTTATTTAGTACAGCTTCCCCAATCTGGAGCTTTCAAGATTTTTGGATTACAACCTCCCATTAGCTCAAGAAAGAATGGCAAGGATGAGACATGATGGACATTGTAGTCCCCCAGTCTGTAGGGCTTGGGGGAAACTTTAACCTAATGCAAATTACTTGATTAATGCTAAGGTAACTATATCAAAGTATTAATTTCAAAGCTGAATTGAGCTTGAAACCTCCCCCCCCCTTTTTTTTAACTTTGTAAAAACACACTGGAATGTAAACAAGAATAACTTTAGGAGGGGGGAAAACTCATTCAGATATCAGTGGTGGCACATTTCTTTTCTATGTATCAGCATTTCTAATTGCAAAAAAGTGGTATGGATATAATTTTAAATTTTGCTCATAACACCGATTCACCATGCAAGTTAGCAGTAAAATTAATAGCTAATTATTATTTTTGTAAAGCTCCAAATTTAAAGTAAAGCAGAGCTGATTAGCATATCTCACAAAAGTACAATATCCCAGGATTAGAACAGATGTGTTGAGGAAAAAAAATTGAGCTTTCATATTTATTAGAACAGAGTGGAATATCATTAGGACTCATTTGAAAAAGTAATCATTTTAATTTAGTTATACAAATAGGACATGGTGATCCATGAGCAGATAATGTTCTCCCATTAAAACAGAGTATGAACTTTGTACACTGGGGCAGATATACTGTGAAAATCCCAATGCAATGCTTTTTTTTTTTTAAAGGAAAGCCAATTTTCAAGTTAAAATATGCCTCTTGTGATTTTATTTAGGGTATAGGTTATTGTAAAACACAAATATCAGCACCATTCTATATATGCTTGGTTAACTGTATATCCCCCTACCAACATGAATTTGACCCAACTCCGGGAGGCAGTGGATGGCAGGAGGGCCTGGCATACTGTGGTCCATGGGATCATGAAGAGTCAGACACGATTTAATGACTAAGCAACAAAAATGCCTAGGACAGTGGGTGGATACAGGACTGCTGCCATTCAGATTGAAGGGACATTGAAAAACCTCAAACTTAGGATAAGGAAAATGTTTACATTAATAAGAAAATCTTCTTACACATTCTTGTGTAACAGATTACCTAATTAATAAGAAAATCTTACACATTCTTGTGTAACAGATTACCTTGAAGAATGGTTCTGAGAAACCAGTAAGTTATGGAACTTACTTATAGCTAGTGATATATTTTGCATGATGCATATACAACATTTACTGAAATACTGTAGAGTATTATGTATTGTAAGCATTAAATGTTGTATTGCTATGGATAGAATTCAGTAGATCACATGGATAGTTTCCAAGCATTGCCCAACTGGACCCCTGCTCACTCTAATTCTGGCACAGATTATTCCGATTCGATGTTATGCACGGGAACTATGAAATATCCTTCAATATGACAGCTGCTGCAGCTTAGCTCAGCCTTCCTGTTAGGTGGGATAAGTATTGGTGGAGGTGGAGAGGCTCCAAGGAACTGTGATTTATACCACCCACATCCACTTCCACAGACCTTGACCTGCACTGCCTTCAGTCCACAGAGAGAGAACTGTTCTCTTCGTTTCTTTTAAATTGTGCTATAGCTACAGGGCACCACCTTGCCTTGACATTCTGTTCCCTAATTCAGTCAAAATGAACTGCCTTACTGCTCTGTTGGGTACTGCAGCTTTCCTTGATCCAGTGTCTCCCAGGTGTGTTGGGCTTCAATTCTAACATATCCAGCTGAATCTCTGCCACTCAGGCAGTTCATTAAGGACACTCAATCTTCAGCAGTTTGCTCCAAGATGTAAGTCCTTAGTATTGTCTGTTTTATAAATACATTAACTAGTTTTAGAATCAAAATCACGGAGGAATTCTAATGTCTAAATCACAGGTAGGAAAGATATGAAAGTAGAGACACGGAAGCTATTCGTTGCTGATCTAGGTCAGTTGCAGCAACAGCTATCAGTGACTTACTGATCTATGTGGCCTATAGAATAAAATATTCAGGATTGCAATCCCAACATTTAGGAATAAATCTAATTATGAACCCTCGTTAGAACAAACTCATTGAATCAATGGATTTTGTTAAGTCAACGTCTATATAAGCTCAATTAAACGGACAGGGGGTAGGTTAGACTAAACATTGCACTTATTTTTTAAAGCTGAGAAGAAGCAAACATTAGATTTGTTTCCAGATGCTCCCTGAATAGGAAGACTGGATATAAACCTCCGAGTTTTGGTCCCCCACTTTAGAAGCGTAGACGTTGTATAAACAAGGGCACAGATTTCTGCAAAAGTTGTCAAGAGTTCTACTTTCTGGTGCTGGCAGAAAACTAATACACATTCTAGAGGAAAACTGCTAAAAATTTAATGTGCAAAAACTTGAAGCTATGAATCTGCCCTTTTTGCAAGATATTTATTAAAGAATTTAGCCAATAACTTCAGGCTACATGTAACCACACTGTATGGAGAACTGTCCAGCAGCAAAGGGAGGGGGGGGAAGGAGAATTGAACATTTGTTGGCAAAAAATATGTTGAATTACATTGGTTTGTCTATACTGCTTCATAAGGTACTTAATATCTCTACATGAAAACATTGCGAGATGATGTATAACAAACAATGAGGTGTGATACTTTAACGATTCAGATTTACTTCAGTGTGAAATTTATGGATTAGAACTCGATTCCTCAAACACAAGGGCATATAATTGGGGCACAGGTTCACACAGACTGCATGTACAAATCTGGGCCTTAACTCTTACCCTCTGTGTTTGAGGAAATAGGATGCAATTCACAAAAGGTCATACTGAAATAAATCTGTTACATCTTTAAAGCACCACACTTTTTATTTTTACAATAGATGCTGAAACAAAATAACATGGGTCTCTATTCAAAAGCTGCTAATTAGGAAATTGTATTAGACACTTTGTTCCGTAATATCCTAGCGCAAGGATAAAATATGACTTTTTCTGTGACAGTCAGGCTTTTCATGTAAAGTATTTCCTGCTTGCCATTCTGGTCAGGATTCTGCCATTTTTTAGTTCTTGTCAGCCATGTTAAACTGCTGCATGTATCATCAGTACTCCATAATTCTTATGTCATCATTTAAATACAGTATTTGATCACTGAAAAGACAATGATGATTATCCCAGCTATTTAAAGTCTGACAATTTTGGGAACATATATTAAGAATCAAATTAAACATTTTAAACAATATTAGAGAAATTTAATTTCTGTATTTTAAAGTAACCTGCAATACTGATAACTTATGTCAAAGCTGTTTCCTGAATCAAACTTTTTTTTTTTGTAAACTACCGTTTAATTTATTCTCAGTTTGTCAGCAAAACAAAGAAACTCAGATTTATACATGATGGAATTATTTACAAAATACATACATGAAATATTTAAACACAATAATTATGTGCCTGGCAAGCCTTTAGGACCATTTACTGTAAACAAGTATTGAAATAGGTACTGTAAACTTTGAAGTTAAATATAGGACAAATTTTGGGGGTAGTTTATTGTCTAGTTTGCTACATTATCAGTAAAACGGTGGCAAGAAATGGGGAACTTTAAAACCAAATCGTTGGGTAGAAAGCGTAGAGAAGGATAAGCTTATCCCAATAAGACGGCAACAGGTAGAATAAACACAAGAACTGGTGAGCTTCAAGGGCACTGCTGGACTGGACCAAGAGTGCTGCCCAGACAGACCTGTTCGTGGAAACAATCAACTTCTCTCTCTCTCTTTTAATACATAAGGAAATAGTGAGTGGGAACCGCAGAGAAGAACAGGGTGTATTTGTGATGGCGTGCTGCTTTGTTTCTTCATCACTCAGAAAGAACTTCTAAAGCAAAGGGCTTCATGTTTGATGAGAACATAGTTCAGGACCAGTGTGATATTAACATTTTACTTGAACACTGGAAAATAAGTGCTTCAGAGTCCAAAAATTCTACGTGACAGACACCTCCCACCCCAACTGATGACATGATCAATGGGCAAAGTAACTGTGAAACTGAAGGAAGCTGATATAGTGCTCATATTTTACATTCAGAGATCCAATAACTACAGCTATTACTTCTTGGATGAATTCCCTTTGATACAAGCAAGACAAAGTTTCCCTTAGCCCAGTTCTCTTTGAAGACCAGAACATAAACCTGGCAAGATGCACAGAAATCATGTGAATATTAACATCCTTGAGTCATGTAACTTTTGTTGAGATGGCAGGAAGTGAGAAAAAATTAACAAAACTTGAAGTGATAATATACAGCAGGTAATATGATCAGCCAGTAATGACACTGCATTGAAACTTTGTTGAGGAACCAACATGGATCCCTTGCAAAGATTCCAAACTAACTAATGTTTTCGGGCAGAGAAGGAAAAGGCTTATAATTGCCTGTATAAACCTAAATGCTGATGTCTGTGACATGAGTATGTAAGATCTTTTAAAAAAATATGTATGACTCCAGCAGATTGGTTTCAATGCTTGCTGACAACCTGCTATGTGTGCTAATCTCTGGCCAATAGTTTAAGAACCAGGTATGTAAAGAGAAGCTCTCATATTTGCTGGAAAACCATAGTGGATAGATCAATAGGCTTTAAAAATAAGAGGAAATGTCTAGTCTTTGTTTAGAATTCTATTTGCATGCTGGCTCGGAAAAAGAAGTTGATGCTCATGGTTTCAATTTTCCTTATCTATAAAAATGTCTCAACTACAAAAGTTTCCAAAATAATATTTTTTCACAGGCTATAGAAGTGGGAAAGAAATTTACAATTTAAACAGTGTAATCATGAATCTGTATTAAAGCTATAGACATTACAGATGAGTTCAAAACTGTATTCAAGAGTCCTATAAAAACAAACACAAGACAGTTTTTGCTGCTCGAGATGTCAATTCAAGCATTATTCTTGCTGAAAAGCAATCCGACACTGCTTTCTGGTCCCAGTTTCCACGTCCCAAGTGAAGGCTTGCTGTTTGGCCCTTTTAAGTCCAATAATAAAAACAGTCAGCTCAAAACACAGAAATGAGAGCAAAGACTCCATATAATAGAGCACAGGGGTATGCCACTAGAAGTTGTTGCCCTTCCATTGCTAAGGCTGAAATGAAGATTTTGGAAGCTGAGAAGCTACACCATCCAATAATTCCAGCAGCAAGAATGACTCCCATCATACCCCTGAAAAACAAAATGGATTAACACTGCTGAGTACTAGCATCACATTAAATGTGTAAAGAGTCCTGTGAGTTCTTTACAGTAATATAATATTTAGCTGTTCTGGTTTGTAGAATATATGAAAGTGTTACTAAGGAGACGATGAAAGAGCAACACACCTAGCTGTCTCTGACTTGCTCAATCCAAGATGTAAGATTCTCTACGTGATGTACAACCACATGCTACACACCCAGACTATGTGGACAATTGGAACGTTATATCTTTAAGCAAACAAATCAGATCCCTACCCTTTGAGTACTTACTTGAATACTTACTTTTATTAACTTTCTGGGAACTTCTTTATTTATAGGCTCTTTATTTTTGACATTCTACCTGTAAATATTTTATTCTACTGCAAGTATTTTTCCATATGAAAAGTTTAAATGGGATCCCAGTTCATATGACGAGACGTAACACATGCTCTTACTATTAGACAAAAGAAGGGCAAAACTGGGCACTGCACAACAACTACAATTGGCTGTAGTCAGCCTGTCCAATGATAAGAACTGCAGGAAGTGAAGCCTGGCAAAACCTGGATGCCCATGTGTGACCCACTTCACCCTATTTCTAGACATCTGCCAAAATCCTCTTGCTTTCTCATGCTGGTGTAGCACAAATAGCATTAGCTTTTGCAGATAAATTGCACCAAGCTAAGAAATCACTGTAGACATTACCCAGTTGCATGAGTCGGCATTCAACTGATAAAAGTCTATAGGGGTTTCTAATTTTGAACAATTCCCGCCCCCCCCCCAAGTTACTCATCTGCATAGCTACGCAAAAATATTTTGGCCATTAGCTAACATGAACCATATCTTCCAAGTACTAGATATGGGAAATCAGGTGCCTCCTTTTATTTTATTTTTTAAAAAAACTACAGAAATCAATTTGCTCATAATAATTCATTTTAAAATCATGTTTCTGCAATGTTGAAGGAAATTTGGACAGGTTTACTTCTCAATTCTCCCTGATCTACAGGTTTTGGTTTCAACAAGATAATTTCTATCAGGGAATTAGATGCACAAGACTAGTGAGGCAATGCATAAAGCAAAGTGTGCTGCTGATACACTAACTCATAGTGCTCAAAGCACTTTCTGGGAAGTTTACAAATTAATTATGCAGGCTACACACTGTCCCTCCCCAGTGAGCTGGGTACTCAATTAACCAATCTCGGAGGGCTGGAAGGCTGAGTCAACCATGAGAGGCTGGGATGCGTTACTACAGTTTTACCATTGGGTTCTCTGTTGTCACCTAAAAGAAATTCTCAGGACCGGAAACCTACCTCCTTATTTATTTTGCAGATCTACTAAGGAAAATTAATTGCTAATTATTTGAATTGGAAGTAAAGGTGAATTACCAGATATATTTTACACTTAAATACATCAGTCAGAAATTGTGAACTTTTTTCGGCCAACTTCTTCCATCATAGGCAATGGTAAAGCATTTCAGGAGTTGTAATCTAATAGTTTCTGAAGGGATACGCATTTCTATATATAATACATTAGGAAATGTGAAAGTCTGCAACATGACCACAGAAGTCGAGCTTAACTCACATGTGAAGAAAATGGGGGAAAGGGAAGGAAGAAGAATGGTTTGAAGCCCTGTTCTTGGTCTTTTACAATATTGTCTCCTATTATGGATGGTGGTTGTGGAAAAAAATGGCAGACAATAGCTGTTGAATTTTTAAAACACAAGCAGGCATTTCTGGGAACATACTGTTCAAAATGTAATGCACCAATGATTTATATCAGAATCCTACTACTTACACCTGCTGGCGTTAAGTCAAGTGGCATAAATTGTGCAGTGAATCAATGCTAGTTAAGAAGTCAGTACTTCCATTTCTTGTTGTCCGCTAAGTCACAAGGCTGGCACATGATACAACATTTCTTGTTGTCCACTAAGTCACAAGGCTGGCACATGATACAAAATAAAGTCCACATTTTTTAATTAGTGCCAATGCACTGAAGTGATTGATGCTCTTTGACTTAAGGGCATAAGTAACAGGACTCTAGCCACTGGCTCAAACCTCTTCCTAACACAATTTCTTCCATCAGCTTATGCAAGACAGGGTTTGCTTGCAGGGAGGAGGAGAGAGACAGATTTAGTTTTTCTGCAATGCCTATATCGAGAGGAAGTAAGAAAGACTGGGATTTGACATACAGTAAGACTGGGTAGTGAGAATTACAGAAATCATAAATACTAGCTACTTTTTAAAATTCTACTTATTTGTACGTTCATCAGGAGAATCTATATGTAGAACAGTTATTCTCAGGGCTTGAAAAACTTTTAGAATGTCTCACCAGTGAGTCAAAAATTTCACCAGTCAGCATGACCGGACTATAGCCTTGCAATTTATGTTAACAAATTTAAACTACGCACTTGTTCATTTTTATTTCTATGTAACATGTACAAAGGCAAAATAAATATACCCTCAGACTTGGGTTGCTTTAATACCTGCGTGCCCGTGGGGTCATGAAGCTTGTATTTTGAATGCTTTTCTTCTGAATGTCTCCAGCAAAAATAAAACTGAAAGCAAAAGTGCCCAGCCTCTTAAGGAGCCACAGTTCACTCCCACCCCAGCATATGTGCTCATTGGGTTGAAATTGGGAGCAGATAATCACCATATTCTCCAGCATGGGACTACTCTACATTCTCCTGCATAGCTGTATATCTATGTGCTGCTCGAACTCTCTTCTCGTGAGAAGAGGGCTATTTTCCTTATGCAATGGGAGGAGAGAGGGGAGGACTGCAGGATCATTGAGAGTGATGGGCTGAGGGTAAGGAGGCAAGGAGGGAGGTTGCTGTGACTCATCAAGGACAAGTGCATTTTTCAAGCCCTGGTTATCCTCCCATTAGATGCAGTTTGTAATACAACAGTACAACAACCTTAATAGTTTTGATAGTCATACTTACTGTAGAGAAAATACAACAGCAAAGCTGGAAAGTATTATCATAGGAAGGAGACAGTATCCAAGGACACTGGCAACGCAGCCAAATGAAACACCAGTCATACTCATCAAATTCAGCAGGCAGAACATTCCTAAGCATCCAATTGCACTAATTCCATATACATAACCAAACTGAATTTTGCCAGCCTGAAAAAAAGCAACATGAAATAGGTATTATTTTATGCAGTTTTGCATATTTTGCCTCTACAGTGTCCTGACCTACTGTGAGAAAGGATGAAAAACAAAAATGATATAAAATCAAAACAAGACAAGTTACTTTATAACACCAAAGATTTGAAAAACAAGGATGAGATATTTATTCTCCTCACCTTCTTTGAAAAGACTAAGATATGTGCCTGAATTAGGTTGGAAGCTTTCAATTAAAAGGCATCCTTGATCCCAAGTGGGACTATAGCTTGAATTGCTCAGATCTAAAGAACTGTGCAGTTAATAAGAATGTGCAAAGGGAGGGTATGAAGTCATTAAGCTCTTTAGCATGTTCATCTTGAAACTTCACAGTCACCTTGGAAGAAGAGATTACACTTCTGGCTTAATCTGGTAATGTCCTGTACTTTACCCAATCTTTGTTAGAAAGGGAAAAGACACTTTTGTGAACAAAATATCTATTTTGTGAACAAGAAATGACTTTGCCAGAGCTGTCCTCTTCACTTCTAGTCACAGTGCTTCTGGTAGGACATAAAATGTAAAAAGAGACCAAAGGCCCATCAGGTCCAGTATTTTGTTTCCACACTGGCTGACTGATTGCCTTTGGGGAGCCCACCAGAAAAACGTAAATGCAACTGCATGCACTGTCCCATGTTCCCAGTAAAGGAGGATTATTGCCCTTGCTCCTAGAGTTAATACACATATCCTGATTAGTAGCCATTGATAGCAGTAATATTCATGAATATATCTTTTTTCAAAATACAACCTGTGATACTGAATCCCAGGGATCATGTGTGAAGTAGTATTCCTTTTTACCTGACCTACATCCCCCATGATTCAGTTTCAGATGGCTCCATGTTCTACCAATATAAGAAAAGGAAGAAAAAACAAAACACCTAATCCCACCTGGTTTTTCTACACATAAAAGGAAACATATACAAAAATATTTGCTTATTGTCTCTTTCTGGGTATAGCAATAGTACTAGCACATTGAGTTTCTGTGGCTCCAAGAATGTTTTGAAAACCAGTTAATGAGACAGTATCCAACTATCCATATACTGTAACAGGTTGCGCTATCCACAGCAACTATTCAACTTGGTTATTTAGAACAGTCATTCTCAAACCCTTTTTAAAATCATGTCCATAAACACAATATGACAGAAATATAGGCAGACTCAGGACGTGGTGGCACTGTGGGCTAAACCGCAGAAGCCTGTGCTGCAGGGTCAGAAGACCAGCAGTCATAAGATCGAATCCACGCGACGGAGTGAGCTCCCATCATTTGTCCCAGCTCCCGCCAACCTAGCAGTTTGAAAGGATGCAAATGCAAGTAGATAAATAGGGACCGCCTCGGTGGGAAGGTAACAGCGTTCCGTGTCTAAGTCACACTGGTCATGTGACTACGGAAGATTGTCTTCGGACAAACGCTGGCTCTATGGCTTGGAAGCGGGGATGAGCACCGCCCCCTAGAGTCGAACACGACTGGACAAAAATTGTCAAGGGAAATCTTTACCTTTACAAGATTGTATAAATCGCATAACAAACCTTATAAGGTGATGTGTGAAGAACTGTTTCCATCCTCTGGCTTCCTTAAAATGTGCCAGGGGCCACCTAAGAGCCATATGGCCCTTGTTGAGAATGGCTGATTTACTGGCTTCTGGATAAGACTGATGTTCCCAAGTTATTTTTTTTTTCAGCCAGGCACACCTAACTGAAGGCTGCTCAGCAGACCGAGGGGCTGCAGAACACCCCAAAAACTATACTGCAGGTAGGTTTTGTGCTTCTGGGATCCACCAGGTAGGGAGGACTTGAGCAGTCACCACAGCACACAGCATAAGAGCGTTTTGATAGTGAAATATTTGAAAATCACACCTCCCCTGCGGTCCTGCTATCCCCAAAAGCTTCTCCTGGACCAAAGGGAACCTAGAAACTTTTATTACATTAAAATGTAACATCATCAGTTATCACTCGCACAGCATTTAACCTTGCAGTATTGGATTTCAGCCTGTGGGAGCAGAGCACATTCTTCACAAAAACACTGGCTGAGGGAAGAGTGCAGATGACTGTCCTTTTCAAAAAGATTCCCAATGTAACAAGAATTCCTACACCTACTTGAATGTTAGCAGGCGCCACCCTCTCATGGAACACTATGTCTGTAAATTAAATCCAGATTTGCCTCCACATAAAAAAAGGTATCATCTTGCTGATCTCAGTTGGAATCAATCTCAGGATTCAGAAAATGGACCAAGCTGAAGATCTCTTTTGGAGTTGCCAACATACATCTGACCTTGATAGAAGCAAAGTGTGATGTGCATCTGAAACGTCTAGCAGCTTACAGTTGCTGCAAAAAAAGTAGCTGCTACGGGGGCACTTTAAGATTAGTATACTGTATTACATATGTGGTAGCATTTATTAAATATCTGCAGAAGCAGGCTACAATCTACAACATGATAATCTGACGCTCTGCAACAAAGTGGCTTCTACTCAAGAGAATGAGGCAGAAAATATATTTTCTGTGTACAGTCCTAATTCTTGACAAGGTCTTGGTTCAGTGATCCATAGGCTCTGCAGTTCTAACCATAACTGCCACCACTTTCAACATAAACAGCAAGAACAACTAACCTTGCTAGTCCTTTCCTGTCATATAGACTTCACATTCAGTAAAGGACCAATTACTCCCTGAAATGTGTTATACTAATGGTTTTGGCATCAAGAGTACTTTGATGTGTGGATCACTTTCCAGTAAGACCAACTTCCAAAAATGATTTAAAATTAGTATTAAACTATTATCTTTGAGTCATACTGACATGTTTATAATACAATCAAAAGAACAAATATTCATAAGGATGCCTCACTGTATCCACTGGTCGTACTCTTATATGAGAAATACAAACCAACACATTAAACTACTAAATTTCTGAACATGGAGATATAATCTAGTAAATCTTTGTTTAATAGCATCAATTCTATTTTCAGAAGACAGAGGAAACAGATTCTTCTGTTTCTCTTTTAACGTGATGAGAATGCAAATGTATCACTAACGCCTTACCAGCAATAATGTAGCACCAAAGGCTAGGCAGAAGACCATGGGCCCTGCCAGATCAGTTTCATTCATAATGCTGCCATCTGCTTCTTTTAATGGATGCAGTACTGTCAGGGTCTTCTGCCAGATGTGGTCAAAATTAATTCCTAGCTCTGCAGAGCAAATGAACAACAAATAATGATGGCACAGAATATTAGTTAAGTGGTAAAAAACTAGTGCAAAGACTTAAAAAGCACTACTCAGGACCCAAATTAAACAGAAATCAATCATTATATGGCTGTTCACATCTCCTAAAATTGCATCAGTGTTTTTCCTTTCATTTTTAGTCCTTATAAGAATGGTTTGTAAGAGGCTACTTAACAAAATGGAATGAAACGGGAAAGGCTGCAGAAACTGAAAACATTAAAACGTAACTACACATATACTTTTGATATTCAGTTATTTCTTCCCTTCTATAGGCTAATGCAAGCATTCTAATAACAAAATCGACAATAAAAGTCAAACCTTCTAATAAGGGTGGTTCATCTTCAAAACTGCTTCCATAGAAAGATTGTGGTGAAGATGGAGTGTATGCTGGTGCTGGCTGAAAAATCTGGCCAGTATAAGGCTGCTGTTGTGCCATCATCTCAGGAGGGACATATCCACCTTGCTGAGAATATTCATAGCCACCATACTGCCTGCAGAAAGTAACATTTTGTTAATTGTCAGGGCAACACCACTGTGTACGATAATATCTGCTTTTAATAATTATAATCCCTAAGTCTAACTATATCTATCCATTTACAAATGCACTTCTCTCACTCTGGAAGTAACATCAGTTACAGAGACAGCTTAATAATACTATACATCGAATGATGAATGCTCGGCAATACTGATGTGCTTTCTGCCCAATCTAAGCATTCCCTAGAAAAAGTTATAGGAATATATTTTTAAGAACAAAGGAAACAAGCATGGAAAACCATGGTTGTATTCGAAATGCAGTGCTTCGGAGCGCATCACAACTACCGGCATGGTCAGTCCTATTAGAACTGTCTTTTGCTGATCATGATTTACACAATGTTTTCTAGTATCAGACATATGACAATTTTCCATTTTTTAAAAAGCTTACCATTTTAAGATGTACCTGTATACCTAAACACAATATATTACTTGGACTGTAGTGTAGTCAAACCTCAGATACCAGAAGCTGAGAGTATTTCATCATGTTTTTGGATCTTTAAAATAACTGAGTCAACGTCACTTTACCCTTCATGTGCCCTCTCCTATCAACAGCTGAATACCATGCTTTTCAACAACTGTGACACATACAGTGACCAAACACCCATTGTGACATACACAAACAGAGTTGGCTTAAAAAATTGCAAGATCTCTTTGACTTATTTCAAGATGAAAGAAATGCCATATCCACAAAAATGATCAACCTATGCAGGACCAGGCCCTAGAATCATACTGCACAATTTAAGATACTTGAAGAATTCTGTTTTGAACCATATAAAGTAGTAGCAACTACACTTTTTAGCAAGTAAATCATGCTTTAGCATACATATGCAGTTTCTGTTAGAGAGAGATCACTATACATTGGAGTAAAGTGAAAACTAGGTTTAACCTGATCCAATTTTATTTTCAAAGAATGCTTATAATTATCCATTACTAAATGTCAACCACTTGCATATAAAATTGGTCTATGTTTAAGGATTCATTTTTTCTAGACAACCAACATTATGCCAGATACAGTTTATAACACTGATTACTGAAAAGAAAAGAAATGCAATTTACTTGCTGTATGTTCCTCCTCCATATGGCTGTGTTTGGTCATCAATACTGTAACTTGTTTGATAGAAATCTGTATTGAAGTTGTCAAACCCAGACATTGTAGCCTGCCTAAAAAATAAGTGTTATTTTTAGACATAACGTTTAGCACAATTATGATTCTAAATACAATTGTGATAGTTTGTCACCATCTCCTGGATGCCAGCCTACAGTGCTATTGCAAAATATAACACCCCTTCAATGACAATACAAAATCTTGGCATTAAAAAGCACATTTATTTATAATCAGTTACAGAAATAAAAACTCCATTACATAAGGAACTCATGATTACAATCACACAGTACTATTAGCATAGAGTAAAAACTGACACAGAGCTAACACTTTCTTCCTAAAGCAAAAAACGAAGCCACCTCCCCAACAACAACAAAACAGCTTACACAAATTGGAAATGAAACAGTTTAAGAAACAGCTTAAGCTCTGGATGCTGGGGAGATACAGTGGCACCACCTCTGCACAGAGAAAATATGATCTATCTGTTCCTCCTCCGCACAACACCACATAAATCAGTTTCATTCAGTAATTAATCAGCTTTCTTTCATTATATTCATCAACAACGACAAAGAAAGCAGACGACTAAATAAAGTTGTCAATACTTTTAACAATAACGTTTAAGTTACTAGAGGCAAGATTTACTACTTCCCACCGTACAATCAATGGATGTAGTTCCTCTAGTGCAGCTTACACTGTTGTAGCATGTCCTACAAACCTACATCACAGAGGCGAGAAGGCAGACGCCCAACAGCGTCTACTTAAGTTTTTGGTTTTTTTGTTTTGGCCTAACCTGGACGAGATCCTTAGATCGACAGAGCAGAGCTTTAACAATCGCTCAACAAAAGCAGAGGATGATGCGGGAGACTGTACACTGCAACGAAATCTGAAGTCTGAAAGGGCAACCAGGGAAGCCAAAGACACAGCCCAGCCTGGAAACCCCAGAAGACAAGCCAAGGGGGAGCAAGGTGGCCCCGAAGCCCCTACAGAAAGCCCCCCCAACCAACCCACCCCCTCCTCCTCCGCCGCCGCCCTTCTTTT